GATCCTAATGAGATGGTATTTGGTTCCTCTGCGAATCGCCGTGCAGTTCCCTCCAGATCCCCATTCTGCTTTAGGGGTTGCCAGACTGACGGGACCTTCCTCCACATATGGTGGGAGTGCCCCAAGATCAGGTGGTTCTGGTCTAGGGTGTATCAGCTAATTTACACGGTAACAGGTCGTTCCTTCCGTAAGGATCCAACTGAGGCGTTGCTCGGGAAGAAACCGGGTTCATGCTCGTGGACTCAATTTAAACTAGTCACTTACATACTAACAGAAGCCAGGAGAGTGATTGCACGCTCTTGGCGTACTACCTCGGTCCCATTTGCAGCAGTCAAACCAAGAGTCTCACAGATTATGTTCCTCGAGAAACTGTCGGCTATCCAGTCAAACTCATTGCCCAAATTCGAAAAAATATGGGAGCCCTGGGTTGCCTCCTATATGCCCCCAAATTTCCATTTGGATTCGCTCACCATTTAACTCTCCGTCAGACCTGTAGCCCCTGTCACCCATCCTGCTTTCTCCCACTCCTCCCTCTCCATCCCCTTTTCTTTGAACTGTGTCTCCTTCACAAGTTCACTGTGTTCAGGCGAAGCCTGAAAGGTGGTGTGACCACCGCTTTATAGTTTGTAACAGAAGACTGATTAACATACACTGTGTGACTAGCTGTGTACGGTTTATTTCCTGCGACATGCATAACACAGATTGTAATGTGCTTAAGTCCTTCTTGATTTATAGGGCTGTATGTACAGCCTCGATTTCATTGTTTATGATGTTTATGTACGCTGGAATTTCTTTATTTCTTTATTTTGGAAAACAATAAAAACTTTTGAACTAAAGGAGAAAGTCCTGAAATAACATAACTAAAGCCGCCACCAAGTCTAAGGAATGGTAAGCTGCAATAAATGATGTTTTTGTTCTTGGGTGTAAATGTGCTTTAAATTGTAGCAGTGTCACACTACACATGCTTTGCATACTGGGGCCTATCTACCAGCTGATGGCATTGCATGGTCTGACAGTACTGTTGTATAACCCAGTAGAGTATCTGATTTTTAGCAGGTCATCGGGCTGCACTTGTAGAATGCCTGCTGCCCTAAACCTCTACCTGTGTGTCAAATATATCAACCTAAGTTTGAGCATGACTAATTAAAAACAAATAAAAACATAACTGCATGGATAACTGTAACAGTTAACAAACAAAAATATTTTATTAAATATAACATATTTTAAAAAATACAGAAAATGTGCAACATTGAGTTTTTTTACAATATTTCAAGGGTAACTCCACTTTCAAAATAAAAAAAATCTTTAAAGCAGAACTCTTTAGCTCTTCTTGCATCTCTCCCCCTCTGCTGCAGCAGTCGAAGGTCTCATCACATTCTATACACAGTGTAGTGGACATGATGTTCCGACACTGCAGCTTTCCTTTTTAAAAGAAGCCCACCAGCTAGTTATGAAAAACCCAGACCCTCCCATTCAGAAATCAGTTTGGAAAGGACATGCTGCAGCAAACAGCTTTTTCTTCAGAACAGAAACAGGTAGGAAACTGCAACAAAGTTGGTTAAAATCCTTGTAATGTACAGTACATTTATCACCAAGAGAGGATTCATTTTTTTCTCTACAAAAGTGGAATTATTATTTAAAGGAGAACTATGGGGCCAGTGTTTTTCCCCATAGTTCTCCTTAGGGTAACGGGAGGACACAAGCTAGCATCCTCCCATTACCCTAAGCTCAGTATACCGCGAGCTACAGCTCGCGGTATACTGAGACGCCGACGTAGATGACGGGATCCGCCCAGCTGCGTGAGTGACAGCTGGCTCTGCCTATCTAGAGGCAGAACCAGCTGTACCCGCCCCCTCCCCCGTCCGTTCCGCCAGTCAGCGCTGGCAGATCGGAGGGGGGAGAGGGGAATCCAGCCCCTCCCCCTGTCAAGGCAGAGAGCCGTGACAGGATCGAGAGGTGAGCGAACCAGGTATGTGTTCGCTCACCTCCCAATCTACTGAGCCGACCTGTGACAGTCTCATTGTCACAGGTCGGCTAGAACTATGAGGTGATTGGAAATCACTCATTTCATAGTTCTCCTTTAAGCAGTCTGAGATTAATGTGCCTAAGATTGTGGTCTCTTCCTCAGCAACTGAAGTGGCATTAATCATGTTGCATATACATTTTAGGTATATGTAGTAATGTTGTTAGGTCTCTATTATATAATAGAAAGTATTCAATAGCTACTCAACAATGTTTTGGACTCCTCTACGTCAAAGGGCTCCCTCCTCTCATTCATTTTTGTATGTAGTGCCACCTGCTGGAGTATTCTGTAACTGCAGCTCCTCTGGTCCTCAGTGGTCCTTAATGTGTGGGTCAAGTGAATGGGGAAGGGAGGTCGCGACTAAAAATCAGAATCCCAGGCCAGGGCCACCATCAGGGGGGGTACGACCAGTCTTTGTGTGAGGGCCCAGGGGGGCCCGGGCTCCAATCAAGAATTTTTTTATTATAGATTACTATGTACAGTTGAATTGGTAAGGTGAAGCAGTGACTAAATTTTAAGGAAATCCTGAATACCCGTTTGAATTTTATAAGGTGCTGAATAATAAATTCCACTTAATTTAACAGTTGTAACATTATACATAACTTGATTTACAATCTAAATATGCTCACCCTACTTTATTGATGTGTTGCTGAAGGTTGAAGACAGCCATTTTGTGAGCATTTATCATGAAGAACCATAAAGAGCCAATCCATTCACAAGAAAAAGTGCCCATGTGCATTAGAAGGTAGGAGGTTTAGGCAAGATTCCATGACCCTTAGGACAACATATTTCACAAGTGCTGGAAAGATGGGGGACTGGGCAAATAAGCACTGAAAACATCTCATCTCAGGGGGGAATAAAAGCAAATGGAATAGGTTTTCTAACCTGCTTGGTCAATTTTTCCTCCCAGACAGTAGCCAAACAGCAGCAAAGCCATGAACTTCAACCTCTTCCTGCCGGCATAATGCATGCATGATGCAGCACATAGGGTGGGCCCTAACAGTGAGCATATATATGTGTCATATATATGTGTCAGCCAGTACTGCTGCTCTGTGCCGAGAGCATGCTCACAGGTGTGCTTCAAGCACAGTGACTGTGCTGTCACTGTCACCATTTAGGATCAGCAACTTGTGGGACAGCCTTCCAACCATGTGGCCGCAGTGGCAGCCACTCACAGTAAGCGCATGACTGGGAAACCTGCCTCCAACTAACTGCTTTAAGATCCCCTTAAAGGGCCCCTGGGAGTAGCTGCAGGTACTGTTGAGTAATTCATTCGTAAAGATCACAAATGAGATTCTAAGGTGGAGTTCACACATGCTATTTGTTTACATTAGAAGGTTGGCAGGCTACCAGGTTCCTGCTGCCAGATTGGGCAAGGGGAGAACAACTTTCATTCCAATGCCTCTGTTGTAAAATTTGAGGATGCATTGTACCACTGTGGCTGTGTCTACAGAGGTCAGTGTGGGCTTGATTTGACGCTTATGTGCTGCTTGTTAAAAAATATGTAACATTTTAAAATTTATATAACCTGGTTACAGCTTCAATTTAGGGAAGAATTGCCTGTTAAATAATATGTGCATAGTCTGATGTAAAATGGAAATAAAAGGTAAACCGAGAAAAAAAAACCTGACCTATATGCGATGCTTTTCATAAAAAGATGACCACTAACAAAAGCCCATTAAAGGAGTATAAATCATCTTACTGTTAATTATTCAAAGGTGTATGAAAACAAGGAGCTCATTTAGAAACATTTACATTAAAGACACATGATTTAATGTTTATGGACTTCAGATAGTAAAAAAATTAAAATTTTATTTCTTGCAGATATATACAGTTCAAGAGGTGTTCTGGTTTCCAGAACAATGGACCCCCAATTAAGATGAATTGTAACCAGACTTTTTTGTGACTTCCATTGAAGAAAATCTGCGTTAAAGTGTATGTAAACTATAACAATGAACTTCTCTTATTTGCTCCCTTTTGGTCTGCTACATATACCACTGAAAGTGCTTTGTTATATCTGTATGATAATGGCAAAAATACCTGTTGATGTTGACAGAATTCTTGTAAGCTGATGCTGTACTCTCATCCTGTGCACAAGGAGCGGCTATGGAGATAAGGAGGAGGTGTAGGGGGATGATGAGAGGTCTGCATTCTTTCTAATCCATCAGGAATCAGGTAGGCAGGGCTAATACCATGTGCTTTGTAAGAAAGATATGAGCATACTATGTTTCTGGCACATCAACAGTTATTTTTCTGTACTTGCAGGCTTTAAAGGGATAAAGCATAGGGGAACTTGCATGTATTGCAGAGATGAACTAAAGGTGATTTTTATTTTTGCCTTGACATAAACTTTAATGGGAAATGGTAGGCTGACATTGTTAAGCTTTTTTTCTGAAAATTGTACTTGCTGGTCTGTCATGTTGATTTGGTGGCTTCAATATTTGAATATTTTCTTAATCAATCACGTGCTTGTTCCAACTTCTCTCTGACTTCACCGTCTGAGTGCTGGTTTTGGGTCCATTAAAGCCAGTGGGGGCCAGGCAACTGGCACACAGTCATGGAAAACTAATTCCAGTATATAAAATTGTCCACAGGACAATATACATAAGCAGATGAGCTGTTGTCAGAGAAAATGCCTGGGGGGACCTCTGTTGCGACAGTGAAGGATCAGGTTCCAACTGTTCTTGAAAGTGCAAAACACTTTTAATTATTGTAGTCTTTTATAAAGTTTAAAGCAAAGCTTTCCACGGCTCTAAGACAGGAACATCATTGTAAAGCAGGTACGTCTGGTATATACCAGATACCAGACCAAGCTTTTTTTTTTTTTAGTTTAGGACAGCTATTGTTGTTTTATAAACGCTGTGGAAAAGTATAAAAAATAAAATATTTTTGTAAACAGAGATAAGAATAAAATAAAAAGTTACTAGAAATGTAACAGTAGAGTGTAGTTGTATCCTCCGATCAGCATTCGTGGTGACAGAGATTTTTCAGAAGGGAGTATGGTCTTTTCTTCACTGCCCAGGGACCGTTGGAAAAAAAGATTAGAAATGTTAATGTAACATTCCCATGATTAGATCAGAGTCCTTTTTATATTTGTCTTTCTTATTTCATAGTACATAAAAATATCCCTTCATATATTAAAAAGAAAAAAGAAAAAAAAATGATGATTCACGAAAATAAATAATTTCAAGTCATTTTGTAACCAGCCAGGTCAATCTCTGATTGGCATTGCTGTTAAAGAACAGTGTAATCAGTCTCCATTTTGACAGGTTCAGTCCCAGCTACGCCCTCATACAGCTCGTGAATCACCAGCTCAGGGACCTGCAGCACCGTCCTATCATTCGATGTTTTCTTCCCATTTTCTAGGCGTTTACGTAGTTCAGAAAGGGAAATTCTGTCAGATACCTTCCATGCCCAACAAGACTTCATAATGTTGTATCTGCAAAATAAATTATAAGACAATGGCGACATGAAACAAAGAATGTATAACAGACAAACATAGAACAAACAGACCCAGTTGTCATTCTTCTAGACCAAATTAGTAAATGAAAGCTAATTGGCCATCACTGAATCATCACCACCACATTCTCTTACATTTTTTTCTATTTGCCTGATATATCAAAGACATTAACATAAAGTATATGTATTTAAAAACAATAGTAGAAGGGAAAAAAAAGGTATTCCCTTACAAATTCTGTTTACAGCTGGAGGGCCTCTTCATGATGTTACCACGCTGCAAATGCTGCAAGATGCTGGAAGGAGGAACCTCTGGGAATGGAGGAGCACCTAAAAAAGAAGAGCAAGAAGATATGATTAGGCGCATATTTATCAGTTAAACATTCACTGCGGCTAAAACTTCCAGGTACACATAAATCAAAATGTGCCACACTCCACAGACCTTTACCAAAGATAAAGTATTTTTTGTAAGACAGATACCTACTGTTTTCTCTCCAGATAAACCTTAACCTCTAACACGTTTCACCATAAGGGCTTCCTCACATGAGTAAGCAGACATGGTGAAACACGTTAGATGTTAAAGTTTATGTGGAGAGGAACAAGCAGTATTTATCTGCCTTATAAATAAATATTTTATCTTTGGTAAAGATCTGCGGAGTGTGGCACATTTGGAATTATATTGCTAAGGGCAACAACGCACTTCTTTGCAGCCAGAGTGACTTTTTACTTTGCTTATTAAATGAGGTTAGGTTCTGCTGAATCATGTGCTAACAAAAATGCTGTTTTTGGTCAAATATGGTAAAAAATGGTATGATGTTAAGAAGGTTCATTTTTGGCATTATTGACCCAAAACAAACTTTTACAGATATTTGCAGGGTAAGGGTACACTGCTAAGTATTTATATATAGACTCCTAAGTGTATTTTCAATTTATTTTATGCTACTACCATGAGACAGGTGAAATTCTGTGTAGCTTTTATTTAACCCAAAAAAATTAAGGGCTGGTAAAAATAATGTGAAAAAGGATAAAGGAGATTAACTGGGATGTAAATTATACAAGGTTGCAAAGGTGATTCATATTAAAGTGGCAGCTAAATGCACTAGTGATTACATTCCCTTCCAACTACTTTGTAGTTCTGTATTGACCATGTTATAATTTACATCCCTATTTCCTGGTTGCAGCTTCCTATGTCATCTGCATTCCTTCAGCCTCCTCAATTGACCAATTAGTAGCACAGTAATTCGATCACATGTGCTGGAAAATTACACCTGTAATTTTTAATGTAAACTGGGTTGCTATGGCCAGCACAGACACTTTTCTTTTTCCAGTTTTTACACATAAGATAGTATTTATGCTCAAATTGGTAGTAATAATAATAATAATACTCATAGTAACAATAATAATTACTAACACTATAGCTATCACAATGATCATCATAGCTAAATCTACAAGTATCTTATTTTACAGACATCAACACTTACCTAAAGTTACCAATTCATAAAGTAGAATTCCAAAGGACCATCTAAATAAATGAGAAGAAATAATTAAAAAAATACCCTTTATATGAAATATTAAACAGGCATCAGTACAAAACTAAATTAATAAAGATTTAAAACAGTTTATAAGCAATACATGAAATGGTATATACTGTACATCTGACCATTGACCATACAACCATTCACGTTCAAGATTTAAAAATTTCCATAAAACTTTCTATCTATCTATCTATCTATCTATCTATCTATCTATCTATCTATCTAGACAAACAGAGGAGGGAAGGGTATTGTCCGTGATTTCTTGGATGGTGTCCCATTCTACTGAGAAGTAAACAAAAAGTAGATAATGACAGTAAATATATCAATGCTATTCCCTTATATAAGGATTACAAAACAGAAGATGTGATTTCATAACCAACCCCCCTTGGGTGTCATGGACTCACTTCCCCATCCCATGTGAGACTTCCTTACACCCCAAAGAATCCACAAGGGAAATAAATAGGCCCAATCATCCATGCAACCATAACCAAGATAACAATGAACAAATTCACATATTGTTTCTACTAAGAAAGGAATATAAAATTAGGACCCAACATCTGTAACCACTTGCCACAGAATTATATGGGTAACTCCAGTTGAAGTAAGTCTATTTGCAGCATAGTAAAGCTTTGTCCATCAAGGCTATTTATATAGAGAGCTTGGGAAGATTGGGAATATAGTGAAAAGCAATTTCTGATATAAAACTGAACATCCAATAATTAAAGCTGAACTCCAGGCAAATATTAAATCCACAGATTAATGCAGCTCTGTATTCAATAATACCTCAATAAACCTGAACTCCAGAGAAGGAAAACCTCTAACTTGTAGTGGCCCCACTCCCTACTTCAAGGGTTGGCTGCTGGTTTTGCCTCGCGGATGCGGAATAAGGTGGCATAATCCCCTTATTCCTTGCTCTCCCAGCAGCTGATGCTCTCTTTCATTGTCCCATACTTCAAGGTTATAAACAGCATCCTATCACACAATGCATGACTGCTGGTCCTGCATTGTACAGGATGACGTCAGAGAGCTGCGACCAGTCGGACAGTGAAGGGAAGAGACGTCGGGGGACAGGACTCATGAAGAGGAGGAAGCCTGCAGGAGCAAGGAATAAGGTAAGCATATCACCTTATTCATCGTCCCCTAGGCAAAATGATAGGTTAACCCTTGCAGTGAGCAAAGTGACCCACTGCGAGGGGAACATTTCATTTTCTCCAGCTTTAAATGTATTTTCTAATGCAGGCAGTGTAAGTACCTGAGTAAACAGAGGGAAGGAGAAGCAGCACAAGGAGACAATCAGTTGTGCTACAGTGCTAATGTGCTAATAGAAGAAGAGAGTGACAACGAAATGAGTTTATCGATCTGCTGCATCTCTCTTCACTGCAGCCTCTTGTAGTCTACTGTACAGTAGGGTTTAGTGAAAGGGAGGGAGAAGCAGCACAAGGAGCCAATCAGGATGTGCTGCGGTGCTCAGCCCATGCTGATAGAAAAACAGACCTTCAATAACCAGTCACAGAGTGGGGTTGGAGAGGAGAACTATAAGTAAAAGTGAAACTCCATCAGAGAAAGATCAGGTCTCCTCCCTTTCCAGCCAAAGCTGCGTAAATCTCAGAACTAGATAGACTGAAATATAACTCTTTTGGCAGGTAAAACAGATTCCTTATATATAATGCAAATGAGTAGTTAGTTATTTTGCCTGGAGCTCAGCTTTAAGCTATAACGTCCACAACTCTCTTCCACTTTAACTGTATCTCAGACCAGGTAAATCCCATGTGAACATTTTATACAAATATTTCAGGGTACCATTAGTGTAATCCATTAGATGCTATGTGCATGAGGTTCTATAAATTCTATGTATTCATTTAACTAGCGGCAATATAAATGTAGATTCCAGTAAACCCCATGTTATTTACTTCTGAATACATCTATACAGTCAAATTAATGGTGAATTTCATACAGATCAGTCATTATTGTGCTATGTTGTTTAACAGGAAGTTTTAAAAGAATGTAGTTTGTAAAGTTCAATTTATGAGTGTTTTTCATGTTCCTCTTGACAAGCTGTATACATTGTTATCACAGGAGAGGTCAGGTAGTTACTAACAATGATATTCAGCATAAATATTTGTATGCTATCACAATAAAGAAGAGATATTGCGTATCTGGGTGGAAGGCTGATGTGATGGAAGATCTTGCTTCAGGCACTTTTTTATTATGGCACACCTAGAAGATGGGGACACGGTGTTTAAAGAGAAAGAGTGGTATGAGTGCCAAGATAAACAGAAATGGGCATAGTGAAACAGTGTGTGGTTGGCAGCGGCCAGCAAACAGGTGTAAGGTACCAGATGGCAGGCGGGGAGGTCAAAGAAAGGCCGAGGGCAGTAAACCAGATGATAGCATATCTATCAAAACTGATTTTTCGGTGGGGATTAGGTCGGGAAAGCAGGCTGGGAGTCAGTATTGGGTGTCTAGGTAGGTACAGCACCAAGCCATAAGGAGAGGTTGTATCCAGATGTACAGATTACAATGAGAGTAATCTGTAGAGTAGACAGAAGAGACTTAAGCTGGCCATACACTGGTAGATGTTCGTATGAATGTTCCTACAAAAAAATCTCTTGAGAACCTTTCCATAATGATATCACAGTCCTTTTTTCCATCACTGCAGTTGAAAATGATCATCAATTTGACCCCATTAACTTTTAGAATAATCGACCAAACGTCCAGAATACAAATGTTTTCCTGCTGCCAAATGGCCAGCTTAAAGGAGAACTATGAGGCGAGTGATTTGCACTCATCCTCATAGTTAGAGCCGACCTGTGACAAAGAAACTGTCACATGTCGGCTCTATTGCTCGGGAAATGAGCGAACACATACCGTCGCTCGCTCACTTTCCGATCATCTCCCTACAGAGAGCGGTGACTGTCAGTCACTGCTCCCCACAGGGATGTCCTCCCTTCCCTCTCTGATCCTCCAGCGCTGAGTGGAGAAACGGACGGGTCTGCCTCTAGATAGGTAGAGCCGGGTCTACCTATAGGTAGAGGCAGCTGGGTCTGCCTCTAGATAGGTAGAGCCAGCTGTCACTCACGCAGCTGGGTGGATCCAGCTTAAAGGAGAAAGGAGCTTAAAGGAGAACTATGAGGTGAGTGATTTGCACTCATCCTCATAGTTAGAGCCGACCCGTGACAAAGAAACTGTCACATGCCGGCTCTATTGCTCAGGAAATGAGCGAACACATGCGGCGCTCTCAGTATATTGCAGGCAGTAGCCCGTGATATATGTCCTCCCGTGACCCTAAAGAGAACTATGGGGAAAAACACTTACCACATAGTTCTCTTTTAAGGAAGGCAGGCCAAGTCAGCAGCAGATACTTGCATGTTAACCCCTTCACGACCCATGGCGGGATAATCCAGCTGCTGCCAGATCGCTTTTTCACGATCTGGTAACCAGGCCGCACCACCCCGCGCTTTGTTTCCCCTGGGCTCCGCTGCCCCTCCTAAGGGCCCAGGACCGGCTTGCTGTGTGTCGGCAGGAAGCAGGGGAGGAGATCGGTGAACGTCCGTTCATCAATTTCCTCCCCGTACTATGGGAGCAACATGTATTGCATCACTTCTGGTCCCATAGCTGTCATTGCTAAGCTCCTGAAGCTCAGAAATAAGCTATTGAAGTGTGATCTGCACTTCAATAGCTTATTTAGAGTGTAAAGATGATACTAGGGGTCTTTTGGACCCCCAGCATCACCTTAAAGAGTACCTGCCACTGCCAATATGCTATCACATCTGGTTCCTTCCTCAGGCAAACTCTGACCAAATTGGGTTCCGAAATGTCGCCACACATTGTGAGACCTAATAAGATGTCAATAAAGGATATTTGACATTCGTGAACCTGGAGTGCCGGTGATTTCTTCACTTTTCACGGATTTGCTGCGGCGCCATCTGCATTTGCTGCAGCACGCTCCTCCATTTTATTTGTTTTTTTTTCCAGTCAGGAGTGCAAAGGGATATGGATTGAATAGATGATTGTCCCTGGATGCATCTTTTCTGCGTCCAGGGACAATCATCTAATCATGTACGATTACATCCGGATAGCATGTGGTAATATCTGGGTTTCCGAAGGCGTTCAGTGCACACAACGTGGATTTATCTGCTTTATGGCTATTGAGGAATATATTTAAATAACAGTGTTTGTGCTGGGAGTTTAGCTTTAAGATATTACATGTTTGTTTCGTATAAGCTGTCAAGTAAAAAAAAGTGTTTTGCTTAGGCCAGCTGCCCTTTTCTTTTAGTTTCATAAGATTTTTATAAATTTTTTCCAAGTATAGAAATACAGCTAGTACATACACTCCAACGTAGAGTGCATCAGCTGCCCTTTTCTTGTACTTAAAGTGGATCTTTACCCATAAATAACAACAAACACACTTTTAGAAATGTCTAGTAATGACAATCTACAAACACATACTTCTAGATAATTGCCGGCTTTGTATTCTTTGCATTCCTTATTTCTCTTTTCTTTCACAGTCTTCTGACAGTGTCAATGTTTACTAAGGGCAGGTTACTAGCTCTCCATTTACTTCCTGAAACTCTGGCACATGTGACTAGGACATGTGACCATGCACATTATCTCAGGGGAGAAAAATTCCTTTCCCTAAGATCTCATGAGATTACAGATGAGATTTCCCAGCAATGCTCTGCTGATGTAACCTTCCCAGGATGCAATGCTTGAGCACGATTACATAATTTGTGCCAGAACTGGACCAGGAAGTGAATGAACTCTATTTGTAAGTAAACAAAAAACAAGTTTAACTAATGAATGGAAGATGGTTTTAAATCAGTATGCAGAGCTGCATGCTGTTGTGACTTTAAGTGAAAGGGGGTAAAGGTCCACTTTAAGGAACAGGCCTTTTTTTGGAGGCACAAAGTTCATTCAGAAAAAGCTAAGTGACATTCACACTGTTGCTTTAAATGACATTTGCAAGAATATATTATCTCAATTTCTCGATGAAGAATGTAATAGCAAGTGTAAGAACATGTAGGCTTCATTGATTGTCTTGAAATATTTTCTCCTTCAATGGCTTAGTGATAAAAAAAGGACAATATTATTGAGAACTCACACATCAGATTTGCTGGAAGCAGACAAATGAAGGAGGCGCTCTGGAGCCATCCATTTTAGAGGGGTAGGTCGCCGGATGGGAAAAGATCCTCTGGAGTGCATTTCACAGGCTCCTCCTAGTCCAGTCAGTTTAGTGGTAAAATTATGCTGAATAACAACATTTCGGGCTGCTACATCTCCATGCACAAGGTTACGCTCTTGTAGAAATTCCTGTGGAGGAACCAGAGTGGTTGTGGTCAGACATGTTAAACTTGAGGTTTATTGATTTTTTTTTGTGTGATACAACCCCAGGGACATAACTTACCACTAATGAGATGCGTCCCATGTACTGATGGCGGCTGCTTATTGTAGAAATCATCCCATGACTGCCGCTGGATGCCCCCTACAGCACTGATCGTCCAGTACTGTAGGGCTTAACAGAAATCACTGCTAATGTGAAAGAGTCTGCTAAAGTTGCGACGCTCGCCTGCCCATCCGGTGCTTCCTCCTCTGCCCTCCATTTACAGAAGATGTACAATGTAAATGACCTGTGATTGGAGGATGGGGAGATGAATAATAGACTCTACCTCCTCAATTCACAGGTTGCTTTTTATTGCAGAAACTAATAGCACAATTTCTATTACTAGAGGTGAGAAGAGGAAAGGGCAGGCGAGCAACTTTTGCAGACTCTTTCACACTGGCAGTGGCTTCTATTAACCCCAGCAGCACTGGACGTTAAACGATGTAGGGGTTATCCGGCGGCACTCATGGAAGGTTTTCTGCAATAAGCAGCAGCCACCAGAAAATGGGACACACCTCATTGGTTCCAGGGACTCCATAGCAAAAAAAAACCCTAAACGTCTGCTTTAGCACTTCTGCCTTGCAGCACTGGTGATCCCCGGTTCAAATCCTGGTCAGGACAATATCTGCAAGGAGTTTGCATGTTCTGCCTGTGCTTGTGTTGGTTTCCTCCCACGGTTCAATACACATGCTGGTAGGTTAATTGGTTCCTGTCTAAATTGTCCCTGTATGTATGAATGTGAGATAGGGATCATAGATTGTAAGGTCCTTGAGGGCAGGGACTGACGTGAATGTGCAACTATGTAAAGAGCTGTGTGAATTGTCGGCTTTATATAAATACCTGTAATAAACAATTTTAAAAATTGGGGCTATCTCAACACTGCAAGGGTTAAGTGCTCCTTTTGGCCTATGGCAGAAGAGGGGAACCTCCGGCCCTCCAGCTGTGGTAATACTACAAATCCCATGATGCTTCTGTCTCTGCGAATCATGCCTGTGGCTTTGAGAATCTTTCAATGCATCATGGGATTTGTAGTTTCACCACAGCTGGAGATGCCCCACCCCTGGTCTAGGGTATAAAAATAAAGTCTAAAATAGAATATCCTAACCTGATCCTTTGTCCCATCTGGCTGCTAGAACAGTCCCTGCAGCCTCTTCTACCCCGGTCTCCGGTGGTCTATGCATCGCTGACATCATCACATCTATGCGAGGTCCATTTGTTTGTATTAGATGTGAGGACGCCTAGGGACATACCACGTTCAGAGCAGAGGGGAAGAGAGGTGAGCGGTCACTGCTCAGGCGATCAGGTGAGTGTATTTTATTTTAGATCTTATTTGAGACCTTTAGACCAAAACGGGGGTGGGAGACAATAGCCCAACTGCGAGGGTTAATTTTCTAAATGCCTGGTGTTGATCTTTAACCATATTACAGAGCATCAGAGAAAAAGGCAACATAATGAAGAAATCTAAATACTGCATAACATCAAGAAAGCACAGTATTTTACCATCGGACTGTCACAAACCCACAAGCAACACCATTACACAAGCAACTGGCAGCATGCAATATTATAAACAGTTGCTACTGACTGGCCTCGGTTATTCCTATATACAGTATGTCCTGTCTGCATTATCTCTTGGCAATTAATATGTCCAGTACTGCAAATCAATGCCTAGTGGGAGTACAATGTGTCTAATCTACTTCACTAATCCAATCTACTGGTTCTAGTAACATTGTTTTTGTATGGCTCTTTTCATTAAAAAGTGAAATGTATATCCTTATTGTGGACAGGCGTAGCCATTTTGAGTTGCAATCTGCCTTGTTAAAACGCTGTGTTTTGCAGTATACATATACATTTAATACACAGCAACAGCACCACATATTTAAAAGAGTTTATATCCATAGGACAGAGGGGTTTGCTATGCACTGTGACTGGTACTTAACAAGCAAACATCAGTAGAGAGTGTAATACTAAAGACAATAAGAAATGTACCATGCCATACCTTTGAGGAGGACACCAGGGCATAACCACAGATATAGCTAGCTAAGATCAAAGCTAGACCCAGTCAATTTCTTAGATGGACTGTAAAATTGCTGGATAGAGATTGAGAAGTGCAGACTTTTCCAGGCATTAATCACACATTGGTCCGCCTGTCTACATCGGCTTGGTACATAATACAGACTGCACAGCAACAACTCATGAGGTGAAAGCAAAGTTTATGATCAGCTCCACCAGAATCAGAGGACTATGGAGTGGCTAATTTAGTCTGCCAGGCTACAACTGGTTAGTGTACAGTTACAGTGACCCCCTAGTGTTAAGTTAAAGGATATAGATAGGACCCCGGTAGGGGTGCATTATAAGTTTCCCATCTCTGATCACAAGTTTTAAGTGGGTTGAAATAGTGGTGCATTATGGGCCACCCACCTCCTAGCCAGCAATGTTTTGTTTAGGAGGGGGGTCATGCTGTTTTTGGTGTATTCAGCTCTGTCAGAGCCTGCTGTAGAAAATTTGATGTGCTCTGTAATCTATTTAGTATAGCATTATCTTCCCTCTGCACTGTGCTTAAAAAAGAGAACTATGGGGTAACCCTTTTTGCCCATAGTGCTCTTTAGGGTCATGGGAGGACATATACTAACATCTTCCCATGACCCAAAACTCAGTATATAGCGACAATACTGTTGAGATCCACCCCACTGGCAGATTGACAGCGTGCTCTGCCTATCTAGAGGCAGAGCCAGCTATGCCCACCTCCTCCCCTGTCCATCCCACCAGTCAGCGCAGGAGGATCAGAAAAAGGGAGGGGGAGAAATCCCTGTGGGTAGAGTGGCCGGAGTCACTGCTCTCCGCAGGGAGATGATTGGGAAGTGAGCAAGCAGCGGTATGTTTTCGCTCACTTCCCGATCAATAGAGCTATGTGTGAGTTTCAATGTCACATCTTGGCTCTAACTATGGGGATGAGGGTAATTTAATCACCCCATAGTTCTCTTTTAATGACATACACACACAGTGCACAGCAGTAGCACATACTGTATAAAAGTAACATTTTTACATATCTTAGGGCTAGCCTTGGTTTACAGTGTGTATGGTTATGGTATAATGATGGCAGAGCATAAAAAACATGCCATCTACAAGTTTATATACCAGTGCTGACAGGATCTGTAGAGCGATAATGTAAACTTGGCACTCTGTAATGTCATAGAGGATTCCATGCAGTGACACAACATCCTGAAAGATAAAGATAACATGGTGAAATGATCATTTATGACACCTACTTAAGCACTCTTATAAGACAATCATCCTTTACTGTCTACGTGCGCATAGCAGGGGGTTTACTGAGGATTATTACATTCCAAATAAGCATAACATTGTGATATATAAAGGATAGGAACTTTTTCATCATCGTCTGATTTCTTTGCACTTTAAATCATTATTCTCAGCATAACTATGTGCATGTTGTAGCTTCCCTGGGGCATGTACTTTGGCTTTGTTCTCACCAGCCATGCTGTCATGCATTTTGTTGCCTTTTTTTTTCTTTCAATACATTTTTAATAAAGTTTAATTCTGTGTAACAAATAAACAGTAACAGCATACACAGAAGGAACAAATAAATTAGTAGAAACATAACGAAGGTGAAGAAACAGGGATGCAGGCCTATTATAGTGGGACACGCAAGTGGATATATCAGTGGGAGTGGTGTTCGGCATCTTAAGGAACATTAAAAAAAGATGATGGTGCAGGGTCCACGGGCAGTGACCTAGAAAGCAGACCAAATCTAATCCAGGTGTGTTAACTTTAGCATTAAAGTAGAGTATGTGTCCCAAAAGCTAATAGAACGAAAAAGAGAGGTACAGAGAAAAGAAAAAAAATTGGTGGGTATTGAAGAGAAAAAGAGGAACAGTGGAAGAAGGGAGGGAAAGGAGGGAAAAGGTGATGAAGAGTGGTTAGGGAACCAACCCGATTCCTGAGTCGGAGGCTGAATCCACTATATAGTATGAAGCTCAGATAATTAGAGCTTCATGAGGGCTTGAGTAAATATGTCAACTGTGGTTCCCAAATGCGTTTGAACTGGTGGAAAATATTTTGTTGCCTTTTAGGATACACGAAATTGAGAAAAGTAATTGCTGGCATTGGACCTATTCCCATCAGAGTGCTTGGTTGCTTTGCATTGGAAACAATCCTGCATGCTGCATTTTGAATGTGTTATTTTAAGTTGTACAATTTAAGTCAATTGAACTGGATCCTTCTAAAACACAGTGCAATGCATGTTGCCATAAGCATTCTGGTGAGAATGAGAGCTAAGTCTCCTAAGTTATTTGTTGTAAGAAGATTGTTGTATACAGAGCTCAATAGCTCAAGGTGAAATTTGAACAGGTGACTAACCCCCTCCCTTCATGAGAGGTTTTAACCAGAGGTCTCAGTGCCTGACAGAAGGTACTGCAGTGCTCTATCTTAAGAAAACCAGTGGTGCTCTGAGAATCCAGTTCACAATAATATTGCCCCAAAACCTTTATAGTTTCTCCTTAGTTTGCCAAAATACATAAAATACAGAACTCATTATTACTGGTTTTTCGCTAACCAAAGTATTAGAGGGCATTTTTTAGTACTGTACATTCCTACTGCATAGATATATGGCCCTACAGATAGCATATTTGCATAAAGCTTTGTAATGAATGCTGCGCTGTCATATAAACAAATTATATAGATATGTCAGGTTTGTCTGTTCTGCATGAAAACAAAAGCTGTAGTACCTTCATAGCTGTTACTTTTGTACTACTTCCCACAGCGCCAGGTTATTGCTCTGTGTAGCACTACCATGAACCAGTCAAAATCGTATTTTCTGAAGGTCAAAAATAGCTAATCATGCACTGATAATTATTATTATTGCAATTATGGTGAGCAATGTCATTGTATAGGCACATGACAATCCTATTAACACAGAATTGTCTAGTCTAAATGCAGCACTGTCTCTCTATAAAACCCACATATGAAAGTTGTGCTTGTCCTGTAAAGCTTGACAAGGTGTGGTACTGTTGGTTATCCACAGATCATTCCAACATTACAATTCCAATAAATTTCACATTGCAAATGTTTGTTTCCAATTTGTGGCTTGGGAAGGCTGGGCATGTCCTTCACACACTGGTTAAATAGAGATGCCCTTTGGTTTTTTGAAACTGAGGAGTGGCTGGAGTGTGTTAGGCTGCATCTGGGTTGGATTGTAATTCTCACATGTAAGTGATTTCGATTTCATCTGACATTAGGCCCACTGTGTTTTTGAGTCTATGTTTGGTATTAAAAAACATTGTTCACTGGAACTCTCTAGTACCCCCCTCAATGAAAGAGTGGCTTATCAAACTTGATCATTCAAGGTTAATGGAATAATTGATTCATTCACTATAGGATCGCTCAAATAAATTTGAAGCAATATGGTAACCTTGGCTCAAGTTTAAGGAATCATCTCTATATATGCAGATGGTGTACTGAATCTGTCTCAGATAACTGCATTGTGACCACATTACATGCTATGCTGTTGCTGTTTGCTTGGGAACTGCTTGGGAATCCGTATCCAATTTACCTGCCTCCATTTGGTTATTGTTACTTGCACTTCTTTCTTTTTGCCCATTCTCCATACTTCCTTAACTACTTCATTTCCTGTATGCTTGTCTGGAATCTATGCTTTTCGTGCCTTGCTTGCTGGAAGGATAAAGGGGGGGGGTTGTAGCTAAGACTGGCCATACACTAGTCAAGTCCTGATGACTTGGTCACAATTGGACCAGTGTGTGGTCCTGTCGATTAAAAAAAAAAAAAAAAAACTGCTCCCAGCACATATTAGAACAAATATGATGATATGCTCAATAACAGTATCCCAATTTGGTGTCTGTTCCCCACACAGACCCCATTGTAATTCCAAAGTAACACCACTGCAGAAGAGTACACAACACAAGTGTAATATTTATCTTCTTAGACACAGGAACATTTGCAACATTTATTATACACAAGCTAACCCTAGACAAGTAAAAAGGTATATGCTGTAGGTATTAAATAGGACAAACCCAGAAAGACAACACACTGTAAAAATAACTCTTGAATACACATCATGGACTAGTATATTCTAGTATATTTATGGCCTCAAGCTTAAACAAAGAGAAGACATTTTCAAAATGTAGCATATTGGTATTCACTGTCTGTAACGCTGTGATAAAAAAAAAAGGGATGAAATTCTTCTCACTTCTAAGGGCTAGTGGTTATAATTTCTTCGCTCATAGTTGGTCTCTTTTACATATACACCCTGGCATGAATCAGTAATACTGGTAGCTGTACCACTGAATGTAAACCATAATATCATGGGGGTGTCAGTAGCCCCCCTACAGTGGACTTTGCATGTTGGCAAGCGTGGCTTTTTTCTATCATGGAAGAGATCCATGGCTTGATTTAACAAGGTCACTTTGGGGGACATGATGTGGGGTTCATTTAAAGAGGCTTCTGGGGCATGTGGTCATACAGGGCACTATGACAAAAATGGTCTACGGGGCCATATAGCTGAAATTTTAAATGTATGTCATTGTTATCACACTAGTAGCCAAGCAAGTTGGAACACTGTTACTAGCTAAAAGATCTTTTAAAATACACAAAGAGAGCATTTTCCAAACAAAGGGCATTTGTTTTATCAATGAGGCTTGCTGTGTTGCTTGATGTGTAAAAGGTTTTTTATTTCACTTTAAAATAAGCACCTTATTCATAATGGTTGTAGTTTGGTTATGAGACTTCTAAAATTAACATTATTATTAAAAAATGTCTACCAATTGTTACAGTATTTTCTCTATATGTAAGGAAGAACTCCGGGCATGCAAAAAAATTAATCCTTGCAGTGGGGTTACCCCCACACTACAAGGGTTAAGTGCTCATTTTGGTCTAAGATCTAAAATAAAGAAGATACATTCACCTGATCCTCAGTCCCACGTTGGTAGCCACACCTCTCTCTCCCTCCGCTCTAGCTGTTGAATGTCCCTTTGCATTCTCATACCCAGTACAAGTCAGTGGACGTGATGACATTACAGATCCTTAGACTGCCAGAGCCCAGGAAAGAAAAGGCTGTGAGGACTGATCTAGCAGCCAGGCGGGACCTAGGATCAGGGGAGTATATATTTTTTTACTTTAGACCCCCAGATAGAACAAAATGAGCATTTAACCCTTGTAGTGTGTGTGTGTGTGTGTGTGTGTGCACCTCCATCCCTTATTTACATAATTCTTTAATCTTTCACAAACTATGGAACCTTTGTAGTTAAAAGTATTGTAAGTAGTGCAATTCTTTTAGCAACAAACTTACTGTCAAAGGCCCATAATTTGTGGAAGATGTTTGTATTATTTCTAATATCCACAGCTAAAAAGACACCGGGGTAGTGAAGAATCTACTGCAAATAAAAAAGGTTACATGTAGCTTGCAAACTGATTTAGGTAGTGAATACATAAATAATATGTTTTGTTTTCCTCACCCTCCGACAGTCCCAGAGAAACTGCAAAAGTGACCCGGGCTCCACACACTCCAGCACCATACAGAAAGGCTTCTGTTCAGAGCAACACCCAATAATATCCACCAAATGGGGATGTGTGCCCAGCCAGGCTTGAAATGCTGCCCTCTGCAGGAAATCTCGGACTTCACTTGGCTCGGCACTGTCTGAGAAATCAGCAATAAAAAAGGAGTTAAAATATACAGTTGTAAAAAATATAACAAATGCTTACATTGCCTTTAAAATTACCTTTATACTTGCATACAGGTACCATAATAGTACATTTAATTATAGGTACACATTGTTTAAGTCACATGCGTACTGGATAGCCTATAGAAGGAGGAAATGTAACATGCTCTTAGAAATATCAACGCATTTCTAGATAGGATCCACCTTCTTCATTCATGAAAGCAGTGTGTACCTGTGTGGATCTTTATGGACTATATTACCTTACCTCTGCTCTACATGTAATTATTCTGTAAATTCTCTCTGTGGTTTTGCATACACCTACCTTTCAGTTGTTTGATGACAACTTCTTTTCCTGGTACAGCATCTTGCTCCCTCAGCCCTGTCTTGTAAAGGGGACCAAACCTCCCTTCCCCAATCTGTTGCAAGGAGGGTTGCCTGATTCTCTCCGATGGTATCTCCAAAGCCAAGAGTGAGGGGTCTTTTGTTCTCAGCACATTCTCCAATGACGGTTCTTCCAAAGAGATCCCTGAGCTCACAACCCTGTGGCTCTCCTGCGCCAGATGGCCTACATAAAGATATGGTAGAAAAGTCAGTATCGAGTGAAACAGGGTATCACTGGTTTTACCTACAAAATCTGGGCACCTTGTGCATGATGCTTGTCAGGGTCTTTGCTACACTTTATTTTAAATGTTTTTTGTGATTTGTAGCTAGAATTATGTGCACGCCAAAGAGGCAAAAGGCCATATAGTGTATTTTATTTGGCAACCAGATCCTGCTCTTGTCCTGCAAGATGCCAAATATCTTTAACTTGAAAAATCTCTCTTCATCATGGACTCCGGTAAAAGGTAATACTCTAATTCCTCACAGACTACCAAAATGCAGAAAAATCACCACTCTAGATAGTGCAGGTAAAACACCTGTTACTAAAAAAAAAGGAGAATAAAGATACACTTACAAAGTGACAACTTGAGCAGGACTTACAACTAGGTAATACAATTCCCATCAGGTATCTGATCACAATTACAGATGCAAAAGTATCTCTTCACAGAAGTCTGCAGAAGAGATAAAATGTGATGGTAATGTGCTGTGAAGGACACTGTACATCCTGTGAAAATAAATACCACAACCCACCTAGATGATGAAACAGTGAATGAGGAGCGAGCAAGCAGCCTGGGAGCAATGCCTCAACATCACATGAGAATCTCACGAAGGAGCAGGACCCCAAAACATATTTTAGTGGAGTTACATTGCTCTGTCCCCATTCACTGTATTGCGATCTGAATAAGTTGTGGCATTTCTTTTCACAAATTGTCCAGTATCCTTAACAGTACATTACCAACATATTTTATCTCCCCTTTTGCTGGCTTCTGTGAAGAGTTACTTTTGCATCTATAATTGCAATGGGATACCTGATGGGAGTTGTATTGCCTGGTTATAAAACCTGATAAATTTGTCACTTTGTAAAAGCATTTTTATTTTTACTTTATCTATTAAAAGGCGTTATATCTGCACTATCCAATGTGTTTTGTTTTATTTTATACTCCAGTTATATTGCTTTTTGATATATACGGAGCTGGCAAGAATGAACTGTTTGCCCTGGCATCTGCGAAGCACAGGACATTTGAAGGTTTGTAAATCCACCCTAGTTTCCATTTAACGATCTAGGTATGCACTATTGCTCACTCACATCACTAAGAAGTACAGAAGAAAAGCAGAAAAAAGGAAACCATAATTATACCGAGTAGGGAAATGGGATAGATTTATTTTTATTTAATCTAATCCAAGATTTAATACATTTGGGGTTTTCATTAGGAGGGGGTAGCATTTTACAGCTCAAAAAGACATTTCTGCATTATTCTGCTTTGAATTGATTTTTTGGCTAGACAGGCAGATGGATATTGAGGGGCCCATTTATACCACTTGCTTTGGGTTGTGTTGGCCAACACAGCCCTTAGGCAAGCACAAGGCAAATTGCCTTGTTTCTAATTACCACAGTTTATATCAACGCACAGTGTTATCCAAAATGGCGCATGCCTCTAAACGTAGCACAACATGTTATGTTTACTTGCATAAATAACACATTTTAGAAAAACTCTGCAGTGCTTGAAATCGTCTCCCTTTTCACCCCTTTATTCCTATAAATGTGTATAGAATTTTTTGTTTAAAGTTGGCTTAAAAGCCTGGGGCAGGTTTTGGCAGTCTCAGTGGTACGGGGACTGCGAGTATAATGGGCAGATCTTTCATCTCACGTTCACGCTGCTACTGATAAGAGATTTGTCCATCTGTGGCAATTACTACTTTGTCTAAGCAGGCAAGCTTTCATACCTTAGAAATAGTGCTGAGTGGCGAAAACATTACCTTTTTTTTACTGGCTTATCTCAAATTTCATCAGATCCTAGCAAGTTTACAAGCCTTCATTACATATTTACAGATTTTTCAAATAGGTTTGTTTAGCCTGCAGATTAACTACTTTATGACTCTTACCACCATTTAAAGGACCAGACAGGATGGCTGTTATGGCTCCCATTATTGCAGTCGGTCATTGCCTGGCACCGGAAATCTGTGCTAGTTATAGGGCAGAGCACATCTGTGCAACACAATGGCGTGTCTGTCCTAGAACCAGCAATGGCCAATGACAACCTGCATCACCGGATAGGATAACCACCATCCTGACACGTCCCTTAAAAATGGCATTGCAGCAGCCACTGTAAGCTCAAATGCTATTTTAAAGAAAACCCATACTGACAGAGTATGAACCTGCCGTTGCTGACCTCTCATTTTAAAAGTGCTGGTTAGGCCGCTGTCACACTGACCTAATACTTTCTGAGCTCATGACTTGGAAATGACATAGCTGACATTTCTCTACTAAAAACGTACTTTGGGGTATTTGAGTGATGTTTTAATGTTTCCTCCATTCCCTATAATACAGTGCCTGGTGTTTGGGAAACATGTTGGCCAAAACTCTGTCTCTATACTAATGACAAGTTTGGCATTTGTATGTGTTTTTTGGGGGGCTCCAGCAGTGGATGTAGAAAGCAGGCAGGAATGCTAAAAGTAAGCTGTGGTTACAGCAGTGGTTGGTATGCAGTGGGGGCATTACATTTGCATTTCTACATGACAGTTGTGCTTTAATATCTGGGTGTTCTGGTAGATCATAGACTCAATAATAGCATGCAATGTCAAGCTGCAGTTTCTAAAGCAAGCAAAATACTTTCTTGTATTAAGAGGGGTATAGACTCCACAGATAGAGACATAATCCTGCCCCTGTACAGAGCATTAGTAAGACCTCATCTGGAATTTGCTATTCAGTTTTGGGCACCAGTTCACAAAAAGGATGTTGTGGAACTAGAGGAAGTGCAGCGAAGGGCGAACAAACTCATAAGAGGCATGAAGGAGCTCAGCTATGAGGAACAATTATCTGATCTGAATTTGTTCTCTCTGGAGAAGAGGCAATTAAGGTGGGACATGATCACCATGTATAAATACATAAATGGTCCATATAAAGAGCTTGGTGCCAACTTATTCACATTAAGGTCACTGCAAAGGACAAGGGGGCACTCTTTGCGTCTGGAGAAAAAGAGGTTTAACCTTTGCATACGAAAAAGGATTCTTCACAGTTAGAGCTGTGAAAATGTGGAATAGACTCCCCCAGGAGCTAGTGCTAGCTAGCACTGTAAATTGTTTTTAAAAACATCTGGATGTATTCCTTAATGCACAGAATATTACTGGATATTGAGTTATTATAGATATTTTAGGCATCAGAGATTGTTGATCCAGGGAATATCCGATTGCCTTATGGGATCAGGAAGGAATTTTTTTCCCCTGTTGGAACAAATTGAACCATGCTTCATAGGGTTTTGTTTTGCCTTCCTCTGGATCAACGTTGGGTAATTGTGGGCATAGTGTTCTGTTTAGGCTTTTCTTCTTTTTTTTTTTTCTCCGTATCTCAATAAGTTGGACTTGATGGACTTGTGTCTTTTTTCAACCTGACTAACTATGTAACTATTTTTGCATCAATGACAACTACTACATCCACTATCTACCGAATACTGCATCATTACAGAAATGTGTTATGCTTGTTTCTATACCCGTCAAACAAGCTTTTGAGAGTAAGACAGCAACATTCCTTATTTCCAGAGTCATCTTTCAAGTTATAAAACAGGCAAGCCTTCATTTACATAACTCTCAGGGTACGCAAATACTTTTATCCCTACTTACAGCTAGATATGCTTCTCCAGTGAGAACTGTGATGTACTTTCACAGTGAAAGTTCCTTGTTCCTGCACTTTACATATTTCTGAATAGATCAGTTTTTGCCTTTTTCTCAAGAGCAACTGAGCATGCAAACCCACCTCCACAAAGTCACTAAATACTGATTGTATTTATGATTGTACAGCGTATTCATTTTTATTTTTCCAGGGCAGTCTCATCCGGTCTATGGCTAGATGCCTGTTCATGTCAGTAGTACAGTGTAGCAGTCAAATCACTGTTTCATCTCCCACTTCAAGGCTCCACATTATGGTCATCAAAACTTTACCCATGCACAAGTACAATACTTTATTACTATCATTGTGCAGGCACTGTCAGCGTACTTTTTTATATTGTACATAATAAACATAATTTCTGTTTGAAGGTTTTGGGTCATTGTACTTGTTACCTTGCTATCTGCTTATTGCTAGACCCAATTTCCCATCATTGTCATAAGCCTCATAATATCATTATATAAGCATACTATGTTGTGACAGCCATGTCTGCCAATGTGAGTGTATTTGTTCTTTTTTGCAAAAAGTGGACTATGACTTTTAGCCTGCAGCAATCACAACTACCTTTGCTGAAATTTGGATCAGTTTTTTGGTGCTATTACAGGATCAGTTATCTTTTACAACCACCCTGATAAGATATGGTGCTTTAGGGGTTAGTTTAGCATTAGGGGTTAGCATAAGGGGTAAAGTAAAGTTAGCAATTAGAAGGTTAAGAGTTTGCATTATACTTAGGGATTTTAACATTAAAGTCACTCATGCCTTTGCTTATGGAGGGAACTCTGCCCCAGTTATACTCCCTGTGACGGACCCCCGTACTCAGGATGAGTATGTCCGCCGCTGTCTTCTTCCTTGCTGAGGAGATATTGGACCCCGCTGATCTGTAGCTCCCAGTTTCCCCAGTCACTAGCCAAGGCTCGAGTGTAGGGTAAACAAACTCTGATTTATTGAGCAACTGCACAAACTTATATACAGCAAGTGATGAAATCAGAATATAATCCCATCACATCCACCCTCCCCTCCCAGACCATCGGTCTGCTCAACACCACAGGTGTCCACCTGCTAACGAGCTCCAGACAGCCATAGCAGGAGCCTGGCCAGAATGTCATTGTTCTGAGCTCCCTCAGAGAACAATGGGAGATAACGAGGGATGGTGCTGATACTCTTTCCATAACCAGGTCACACAGCATAACGCACTCAAACATAACTCAACCCCAATACACATTTAACTTATAAACTGATCACCATGTCGTCACACTCCCCATGCCAGCTTGTGCCTTGAAATCAAAGGTGTCAGCTGGTGTCAAACACTGAGGGTAGCAGCCATATGACAGTGCTGGGACCAAGTGACTGGCTGCTAGACCTGAGCACTGTCAAAAAGGATGAGCACTGTCAAAAAGGATGAGGTTTGTGTGTAGGGGGTCACATGCTCCCCTACACACAAAAAGGCAAGGTATTGTTTCCAGCTGCAATGGAGGCAGGACCTGATAAGGTGAGTATACAGGTGTGTGTGGGATGGGGGTGCATTTTGCAATAACACTGTCACATTTCCCTGAATAGTAAAGATGACATTGCCTGCAAGCAGTTTGTACCCAGGTGCTGTCGTCCACAGGTAAGTGCAGCCTGTGCAATTGTGGAGGAATTCGTTAGACTCTGTGATCTGGCCCTATTCTCAGGTGTGAATGGGGTCCTAACTCTCGCCTCTATAGAAGCATTTTTTATTGGTCCATTCAGCCATCTGGAGTGGGCAAAGAAAGCCCTAGGTAAGCTGCAAACTGACTTGCCAGAGCTAACACAAGACTATGGACTCCGTTCCCAGCCCCATCTGACACTGATGTGTTGATCACAAGGTGCCTAGCACTGTCTACTATACATAAATTACAACAATTTTATAAAGTGATTTATATAGAATTTTTTTGTATTCATAAAAAAATATGTAAAAATTTCAAGAGATTACCAGATCTAGTAATATTTACTCATTTTGTTCTCAAGCACAAACTTTACTTCCTGTCTGCTGAACATTGCAATGGAAAACTACTAACTTATTTTGCCTCAATTGCACCTCAGAGTAATAGGATCCACAGCAAAGTGATATGCATGTCAAATATTTCTATTTTTGTAAAGGTACGATTTTTACTTTAATATATTATGCATTTTTTGCTTTGGGCTATGTGGTCCTTTACTGTGGCTTTCCGGGGGAATTATTTATTTCATGGCAGAGAATAAAATTACCTTGGGGCTGTTTCCTCCTGGATTTCCATCCTCGATACCGAAGCCAAAGAATAATGGCAAGCAGAATAATAGTAACCCCAACTAGGAAGACAGGAACCACAATCACCTCATACTCATAAGTTCGGACCTCTGGAGAAGAAACAATGAGAAATTCAAATGGTTATCTTTAGTGAAAGATACCATTTCAATCTAAGAAAGAATCAGGCCTCAGTACTAAAAGACAGTTCTTTTTAATATATATCTACCTATATGCCACAGTGTGTTGGTTTTCCCTGGCCATAGGCTTAAAGTTAAGCTGTGTTATGCTCATGCAGAGCAAAGAGACAGGTTCATCTAAAGTGTATATAAATCCCAAACCAATAATATAATATATTCAACCTTACTAGTCCTTAGATGTGGTATCTGCAATCCTTTTCTCTTTCAGGCTTTTTTTCCAATATATTTTCACCTGGTCATAATTGCAGTAACACCCTTCCTGTCCTAGAGTGACAACGCTTTCTCACTGTACCCATGGAGTAGCAGCATTCTCACCCTAGGCTGCTCTCCTGATTTGGAATACTAACACCTTTCCCTCTTCTCACCTCCATTTAATAGGGAAGAGGGGCTGTTTAGCTCCCAGATGTCAGCTTGAAAAGCTGATATTTCTGGTCATGTAAGTGCACAGGAAGTTACAAGGATGTCATTGAGGATCAACAGATATTTTTCTGTTCACGCAGAAAGAATGAAAAGTGATCAGCTGCAATATATTGCATTTTTGTTTCTTGAGTCTAGATATTCTTTTAAATATAACTAATCCCTCATCCCCTGCATACACCTTCCATTTCTTTCCCCACCACTCTGTTCAACCACATGGAGAAAAAAAAAACAGTACTTCCAGGTATAGGGAGCATGAGTCTCTCTCTCCTTCCTCCCACATTGCAGTGTTGAGTCAATGAGCATCCAGTCGTTTGGTCCCAGTGCTGCCATAGTGTACTTTACCCTGTGTAAACTCAGAGCTTATAAAGAGTTTCTACTCTGTGCTACCAAGGTCGGCATGGCAAAGAAGAGATGAAACGTATATGACATTTATGCAAAACTGTTGCTTTGGACTTCATGGACAATGTTCAGATTCACTGTAACACCTAGCCAACCCACCAATACTTAATACTAAATCCCTAAACTATCACAATTCATCCCACAGCAGCATGAGTGTTCTGTGCTGCACATGCAATTCTTCACTGCTTAAATCCTGACAAAGCAAAATGATTTGTATATTTTTTTATACATCTTTAGTTATACTTTAAAGTAACATAAGTGTAGCTAATTACAGTATTGATGTAACATCAGTTTGTTAAAGTGACACTAAAGTCAGAAGTTAAATCTTAAAAATGTATTCAAGTACCTTAACTATTAACAAAAATGTATCTTATTTGTGTATCACTCGGCTGTAGATCCTCAAATCCTCTCAGAATTTGTGCTGACACTGTCCTTCCTTCTGGAGTCCCAGTGTGTGTTGTAAAGTAGCCACCGCTCCAAACTCACTCATGTGATGGAGTACAATCTCAATACAAATTAGTAAACTAAACGTGAGATTGTAGTCCATCACGGGAGTGAGCTTGGAGCGGTGGCTACTTCACCACACACGCAGGGACCATGGGAACAAAAGTAGCCCCCCTCCAGAAGGAAGGACAGTGTCAGCACCAAGTCATTTGAGGATCTACAGCCGAGTGATACACAAATAAGATACATTTTGGTTAATAGTTAAGGTACTTGAATGCATTTTTAAGATTTAACTCCTGAATTTAGTGTCACTTTATGCATTTATAACATACCAACACATCTCTGTAGCTCCATAACTGTCTCTAACTGTACTTTATTGTGTTATTCTAAAATAACTCAAAAGATTGCAATCTACAAATCTCTAATTAAATATATAAAATATGAATTCAAAGCAAAGATATCTAACTTACTGCAGAGCTGGTCATCGTTGGAACATTCCAGTAGAGTTCGAGCTGGAGGTCGCATCTTTTGGTCCTCCATCTTTGAATGCCTGGGTTACTGGTTACAGCCTACAAAGTCACAATAAAACACAGAGTGAACACAAAGCACTTCATAGTTTGAAGTTACATATCGCTAAGAATGCCATTTACTACCAAGTCCCTCCATAGATTTTAGAGATAAATGTCCTGTACACATGAGAATATTCCATCACAATGTCCTGTTACTGGTAATTAGCTGTCTGCATTTAAACTGACCATGTAAGATAACAAGCAAGCAAAAAGGCAACATCTGTTCTGTGACACAGACAGTTGTTTATAGAGACTCCTCAGAGTCATATACTGTATATATAAAAAGGAACTGTATGTGACCCTTGCTCTTCAGCATTTCATAGAGAAGAGAAGGTTTGAATGAACTAGTAACAAGAAAGCTAACTCTGCTTCATGGAACCAATGGGTTTGTTCCTGCCTTGCCTTATAAGTAAGTGCCAGGGAGCCAAGAAACCAGTCAGAAACTTAAAATGCAGGTTTAAAATATAAAAAGAGTTTATTGAAAACAACAATAAGCATGCATCATCGGAACCAAGTCTGGGGTCAAAAACCACAGCAGGTAGTCAGACGAACCAGGTCAGGGAACACTGAGAGCAGGATGAAGTAAACAAAGCTGGAGTCAGGAGCCAGGAGATCAATCAGCCAGGGTCATACACAGAAATCAGGAACAACAGCAGCACTCTTGGTTGATTGGACCAAATGCAAGGACTTAGACTGAATGGAGAAGCTGGAGGTTAAATAGTGAGCTGGTGTTTGTATCATCACTCTGAGACTGGATTTTGTCAGAAGTTTTGCCAGACTAGCAGAATGATGGTGTAAACGGCTTTGAGCATAAGAGGGCACCAAAGAGGAACAACGGTGCCAGAAACACTTCACAAGCCATGCTGCAAGCAACTGGAAAAGGAAGGGTAAGAAACCCTGACAGTAAGTCATGGAAAAATTGGGGGGGGTTTCTTAATTCTGTTCTGCCAGTCATGTAATTCAAACACTACTGGTAGTAGACAGACCACCCAAGTCCTCAACCCCTACTGCAGCAACAGCACAGCTTGGCCAAGAACATACCTGCAGATTGGACTATGGAAAACCAGAAGCATGCTGAAGAGTCATGAGCTCCTTCCCATTGTCAGCACATGTGTAGTGCAACAAAGCCTAATTGGCTCAGAGTTGCATCTCACTTTCCCAATCTGATGTCTACCATGTAGAGAAGAAGAAGAGACGGATATGAAATGCTAGTTTTTATATTTACACCAGATGTATTTAAAATGAAATTTGATGGATTTTTATTGGATCCATAATTTCATTATTTCCTGTTGTTTATCTCTTACTAGAGATTTCAGACTGGTTGATATGAGTTGATAAATAATATTGGGGTTGGTTTGAGTTATTAAATAATATTGGATTTACTTTAGACAGGGCCGCCTTTAAAGTGGGGCAAAAGGGGCAGTTCCCCCGGGCCCAGTCATTGTTGTGGGGCCAAGTACAGCCATAAACTACTACTAGTTTACTGCTACTGTACTACCCGTCTTTATCGCACTACCCCATCCCGACCACTAGAAGGTTGCAGCCTCCTGTCCCTATGTGCATGTGCAATCTCTGCACCCCAGGATGTCACCTCTGACTCAATGGAGGAGGATGGATTGTTCCCTGCACACTGCTGCATGGTCCCAGCCTCCCCCCTCCATTGCTGCAGCCTCTGCTGCCCCTTTCATGGCTGCTGGGATGGGTCTCTATCGCACGGAGGGGTTGTCATAGAGGGTGGGGTGTGGCATCTCGACTGGGTGACGTCACATGATGTCACTGCAGCTATCACAACAGCTCAGGGTGGGATGTCATCCCCATCATCTAATGTGTCACCATACCCCATCTTCCATCATAGTGGCTGTCTCTGGATGTTCCATAGGGACATGGATGTGACATGTATGACACTGTTGGGCTACGGCATAATGCTGCAGCTGATTATTATTATTATTATTATGATGATGATGATTATTATTCATAATATTAATAATAATAATAATCGCTACACCAGGGGACATTCTCAGGTGTCATTATTATTATTCTATGCAGTGGAAGTGGCAGGTGGCAGATTATCCACACATTTAAAGTGAAAATACACTCATCCCCATAGTTAGAGCCAACATGTGACATTGCAGCTGTCACATGTCGGCTCGATAGATCAAGAATTGAGCGATCACATACCAATGATTACTCAGTTCCTGATCATCTCCCTGCAGAGAACTGTGACTGTCAGTCACCGATCCCCACAGGGATTGCCCCCTCTCTATCTCTGTTTTCCTACACACAGAGGGACAGATGGGGGAGTGTGTGGGTACAGCTGGCCCTGGCTCCAGAGAGGTAGAGCCAGCTGTCAATCAGGTGACGGGATGAATCACTGACAATATTATTGGCATCTTTTCTGGCTGCAGTGCGGCTCTGTGCTCTCAGCATATGGCAGGTAATATTGCATGGTGGGGGCAAAATGTAATGGTGGGGTGGGTAGGGGACAGAATTGGGCAGGGACGTGGTGGTAGGGGGCGGGGCATGGCAGAGGGGGCCTAAGAAAATGTTTGCCCAGGGTCCAATCAATAGTAAAGACGGCCCTGACTTTAGAGTGTATATACTGTATAGTGTCATTTAAACATGAAGACATGCTGGTATACAAATAACATAAATCACATAAACAAATGGAAGATAGGATATGTACATTTATCCAATTTATATATTAATCTTGATTAAGAATGTTGAATGTTTGTCAATATTTCTCTTTCACACATTGTAAGATTGATTATTGTTCTGATTTATTCATACTAAAAGAAAATCGCTACATCATGTCGACACAGTCCAGGTATAAGCAATATTATTAAACTTAAAATACAACTTAGTAATGCCTTGTAAAATATCAAATGACTTGTTCATACTTAATAACTATTTAACAATTCCAGTCATACATAAGCTCATGGATTGTTTATCCTTAAAATATGTCTACCTCATTTCTTACTGATGTTATTAATTGCTAGGGAACTTTGTCTCACATGCAAGCCAAAAGCTGATACCATCAGGATGTTTTTTGCTAATGGACCTGTAGGAAAATGACTTTGGGCACCCAAATTAACAGCCCTCCAGTAGCGTAACAAAGGGGGAGTGATATCTTCTGCCCCATGTGCTCCAAGATGGAGACTCTCATAGTTTAGAGTTAGGACCGCACTATAAGAGGTGCCTTGGCGCGGCAGTGCGGCTTACACATCCTTTGCAGAAGACGTGTATCCAAACCTCTGTCATTGTCCTTAGTGGTGAGACAAGTTGTTTTACATGCTAGTTTGTGAGTGTGCCATGATGCCTTTCTACTGTTCTACAATTGGAGGGGTGACACCAAAATGACTGACAGTCATTTTGGTGTCACCCCTTATGAAAAGTCGGCACTCAGTAATGGACCGAGTGCCCGACAGTGTCAGGAGAGAGGAGGGGACCCGACGACATACCTCATCCAACCGGGTGAATGTCCCCTCCTCTCTCTGCCGGTGTCCATCACCAAGATGGCCACCAGCAGGCGTCAATAAGATGACTGCGCATGCGCTATGACGCCATCACATGCATGCTGACCTTCAACTTGTTCAACAGCCATGAACCAATGGATCTAACCTTATTTCAATGAAAAGCATCATCCCACTGTTTCTGATTTCGCTTGGGTTCAACATGACTCATAGTTGTCCAATGGGACCAGCTCAGTGAAGTTTAAGAAATGCTGTTCAATGAATATCTGCTTCCATTATGTATTTTATGTATTTCATGTATTTTATAAAGCAAAGATCAATGTGTAAACTGCAGCTGCCTATAGCAGCTAATCAGAATTCATCTTTCTCTGATCTGAATAGTATTTGGTTAGTGTTGGCTGCTCTTAGCACTGCATTAAATTGGCCCAATGTGTAGATGACTGAAACTAAAGTAATAATTGTGTTTCTTATGAGATCTTCTTTTATCAGCCTTGTATGATATGGCAAGTCCAGGTAATAAAACTATAACATGAAATTGATACTAGAATACTCTAGCTGCAGCAAAAGGACTTTGATTTCAAGCCTAAAACCATGAATAAATAAATCTATATAGCCACTGGTAGAAGGCACCTCATACAATATGCAGAAGTCAGGTTCATGTTACAATGTAAACAGCTCATGTGTCCAGAGTTAAACCACTCAGAATGTCTTGAAGTCTTCGTGAAGACAATTTAACAGTTCTTTTTCAGGAAGTTATTAATATTTAATACCCCATATAGAATAAGTGTACAGGGGACATGCCTACAAGCTATCAGTTTACTACATGTTTTACTTATAAAGGTTAATGAAAATGTCACAATGCCAATCTACAGACATTACGTGACCTTTGACACTTTCAGGAAGCGCATTATGTGGATCTACCTTTATTTGCACAGTGTCAGCCGATATTCTACAGGAGGACAGGTGTTAAAATAAAGGCAAGTTACAGGCTGTACTTATAAACAAAAGAAACAGACACAAACATGTTCCTGAACAGTTAAACCCCTGATTTTGAAATATTTATTTTGTGATGTGCTGGTAATAAAAGAAATTGAAGTAACCAATGCCTGCCAGTCAGCAATTATCTTTTACTGCAATGACTGCTCCAAACTGACAAAAACACCAAGTTAACAAACCCTAAAGCTATACACTAATAGGTCTTTTCCATTAAGCCTAAAGGCTGAGTGAAAAAAATCTAACAGATTTCTCCACTCGTATTAAACACCATGGATGGATATATCTTCCGCTGCCAGGTATTGTGCTCCAGTGGCTGCTTAATACCCAGACAGTGCCTGCATTTGATTGGATGCAGGCATTGTCCGGCTGAAAATATCTGAGCTGACTCATTTGACAAAAGTCAATTGAAACATGTACTGCGTTTAGCAGAGGATGGCTTACATGGCCACCCATGGCCAAGATTTGTTTACTGCATAGGTATGTATTTTGGTCCATATCTGACCTACAGATTTGCTTGATCAGACTGTTTTGTGT